CGCTGGAGTTCACAGACAAAACTGAACTCCAGCGCGGACGGGGTATGTTTTGCGGGGTCCCGCAGAGGTCGGTGCTCGGGCCCCTCTTATGGGACCTCGCGTACGACCGCGTCCTTAGGACAGCCCTTCCCCCGATCGGCTCCATGGTCTGCTACGCAGACAATACCCTGGTGCTGGCCGGGGGCGCCGACTGGGAGGAGGCGACGGCCCTAGCTAACACGGCCGTCGCCTGTGCGGTGCGCTCCATTCAGGAGCTGGGCCTCAAGTTGGCGCCTCAAAGACGGAGGCGATGTTTATGCATCCGTCCAAGGAGGCGCCACCCCGGGCACATATTGAGGTTGCGTCAGCCCGCGTGGAGGTGAGTCCAGGCCTCAAATACCTGGGGCTCACCTTGGATGGCGCCTGGGGCTTCGCGGACCACTTCGCGAAGCTTTGCCCCAGGCTAGGGAGGGTGGCAGCGATGCTAAGCTGCCTCCTCCCCAATATCGGCGGTCCGGGAAATAGGGTGAGACGGCTGTACGTGAACGTTGTCCACTCTATGGCCCTCTATGGAGCCCCAGTGTGGGCGGGGGTGGCGAGTGGAAATCGGCGCATTGTCGCGCAACTGCGCCAAGCACAGCGCAATATTGCCACCCGCGTCGTGAGGGCCTATAGGACGACGTCATTTACAGCCGTCACGGTCCTGGCCGGCGTTATACCGGCGGAGCTCCTGGCCAAAATGTACGCAGAATCGTACAGGGAGGTCAGGCAGCTCCACCTGCGAGAGGGTGACAATCGAGTCACGGCCAGGGCCATTACCCGGATAAGGGAGGCGGCCCGGCGCAGGGCCCTCCAGCAGTGGCGCATACAGCTGGAGGCACCCAATGTGACGGGCCTTTGGACCGTCGAGGCCATCCGCCCCTGTCTCGCCGAATGGGTTGACAGGGGCCACGGAGGGTTGACGTGCCATGTGACGCAGGTGCTGACCGGACATGGTTGTTTCGTTCGGTACCTGTGTCGCATTGGGAAGGAGCGCACCGCAAAGTACCACCACTGCACGGCCGGTGAGGACACCGCTGAGCACACGCTGGAGGTGTGTCCAGCGTAGAGCGCTGAACCCGATATCCTCACCGCAGTGGTGGGCACGGACCTCAGGCTCCCGAGCCTTGTTCGCAAAATGCTCGGGAGCCCTGAGGCATGGGAGGCGGTGGTCTCCTTCTGCGGCGATGTCATGACGCAGAAGGAGGCCGCCGAACGCTTGAGGCGGGGGGAGGTGGGGGTCGCACCACCCCTCTCTCCTCCCTCATCACCCGGCCCCATCAATCACCAGGGCCGGGACCAGGGGTCCCCCAGGCCTCGGCAGCTAAGGCCGAGAAGAGGGGGACGCCGGATGAGGGCGCACCAACGCGCCCTCTTTGAGTTGGGCTGACGGTAGGCCGGGCGGGGCCCGCCTCTGGGAGGTTCTAAGGGGTAACCATTCCCCCACTCCCGGAGGTCCCCGCCCAGTCTGCCGTCGAGCCGTCAGAGAAGGGAATATTCTGTCCTCCCCTCGCATAGAGGTCAATGTTGTCCCGGTTTCGGTCAGGACGCGTGGCGGAAACCCCACCCCCGGCGTTGTGGATGCGGGGGCGACCTAGGTTGTCACTCCCCCGTTCAGCGTCGGGGCAGGGAATCAAGAGGTGTTCGGGAGCGGGCGGGGAGTCCCGCTCCCGGCCAAACCCAAACCTCCCGACTCGGAGGGAGGGGCACTGGGAGGTGCATGTGTCCCTCCACCCAGCGTCGAAAGACAACATCCGCCGGGCCGTGAAGCCGGCCGCGCAAGGAGCGCTAACGCGCAACGGCACCGAGGGGCCCCCAGAAGAATACCTAACGGTGATGCCTGGGGGTCCCTCACATGGTGCGCGAGAAGGACACACACAGGGGTTTTAGTGGGTATATCTCCTCCAGTTGAATCAAACGGGGGGAGGGGAGTCCCACATACCCCCGGGAGCCTCCCCGGTCTCCCGGGGGATGCGTAATGCATTTCCCCCGCGTTAACAAAAGAAAAAAAAAAGTTAGGTTCTTCGTCGTCGAGGCGCCACCTTGTCGTGGTGACGAAGCTTGGTGCTCTAGGGACCGCCAGCTGGGGACTCTGACATGGGTGGCCTCGCCACCCTATAGGGGCTCCGCAGATGGTGAGAAGAGCCGACTAAGAGCGCCTCCTCCTGGGTGGCTGGGCGGGTACAGCCACCGGCTTCTCCCGGCCTTAATGGGAGCTGGGTTAGCTGGGGGCATGTCTCTGGTATTATACTGGTAGGCACTCTGTGTCATACCAGGTGGTTCGGGGACAGAGCAGGGGGTCGTGGGAGGTTAGGTTAATTGCCTATCTTGGGTACGCGGAGGAATTTAGAAAACTTAGGGGGGTGCCAATTTTGAATATATAGGGGGGAGAACCCACACGCGGGCCGACGGTGTCCTCGGAGATGGAAAAACCTGGGTGTACGGTGGCGGTCTGGAGGGCGGCAACTGTGGGGCACACCGGTGATCCGCAAGTTCTCAAAAACGCAGGCGACGCCGGGGGTCCACGCCTTCAGATCTGGAAAGCAGCCGTCGCTGTGCACTTTAAGGCCCTGTCGATGAAAAGATCTGCCGGCGACTGGGGGTTCTTTTCGGGGGCAAAATGGGTGAAGTCCTCCTCTGCTCCCTTCCTTTCTGAGGCAGTTGCATCGTCCCGGGTGCGTCGCAGCGGCCGATGGTCGGCAACGGTGGAGTGCGCCGGTGATCCTCGACGAATGAGCCGGGGAAACGCCGGAGCAACGCACTCCCTGATCCTAGATGCGGCCGTGTTGCGGCATTCCGGGTTCCCTGCTGATGAGGGGAAGGAATGGGGCGGGCGTAGTTAGTAGATGCGCGTGGGTGGGGAGCGACCACGACTCAGGCGACCGTTATCGGGCTGGAAGGTCGAGCCGCTCACAGGGTGCAACCCGTTCGGGGGCCACCACTCCTCCTCACGTGAGGGAGAGGATGTTCCCTGTCGGCGGATGGCGGGCAGGACGCGAGTCCTTGCCGGCTGCTGCTCAGTCCGAGGACAACGTTCGGTTGTTTGTGCGCAAATTTCCTGGGTCTGTGCCCCGACACCGATACGGGAGAGGTTGGGCAGGGGGGCTGTGGGGAGCCCTATCCGCGGGGGACCGTCTTAAGCCTGGGAAGTCGACTCCAAGCGTCCTGCTTAAAACCGCGGGAGCTACGCCGGGGCAAGAATGCCGTGCCGCGTTAGGGGGCAACGCCCGTAAAGCGACCCCGCCGTGGCTGGCGGAGCCTACGGTGCTACTGGCACGAGGTTGGGCAGCGAGATGGCACCGCTCCCGGAGCTCCGGTCTCTAAGACGACCCCATAGTGGAGCGGAAAACCGCGACTCTCGCTCGTCCGCTCAATGTTGGTCTCAGGAAGGGTTTACCCTCCCTGGGAGCGATTACCGGGATACGACGGTCTCGACAAGGACGTTTCCCGCGAAGGTCCCAAGGGCGTCGAAGGGTCCCAGGCCAGGCGCCCGAAAAGACTGGAGGCCACGAGGGGTGAGACTCATCCGCGGAGTCCTGCCCCTAAGNCCGGATTAGAGGCTGGTTGTATTCCGATGCCACCTTCAAGTACTCCGGGGGAACACCCAGTGGGAATGTTATCGCCGGGGTAACCTGGACGTGATCCCGTCGGAGGTGGGTGACTTGTGTCCTCTCCTCCTTACTTGGTTGGCAGCTGATAGTCGGCAACGGTGGGGTGCGCCGGTGATCCTCGACGGAAACGCTGGCAACGCCGGAGCAACGCACTCCCTGATCCGTCAGGCGGCTGTCACTGGGTACATGGGGGGCCCATCGATGAGGGGTACCGCGGACGTGCCGGTGGCTCGGATCCCATTGGGTGGAAGGAGTTTTAACCAGAGCATAAAACCCTTTTCTTCGTCGTCGAGGCGCCACCTTGTCGTGGTGACGAAGCTTGGTGCTCTGGGGACCGCCAGCTGGGGACTCTGACATGGGTGGCCTCGCCACCCTATAGGGGCTCCGCAGATGGTGGGAAGAGCCGACTAAGAGCGCCTNCTAAAACACCTTTCTCGCCCGGCTTGGTTGCTGGGTGCACGGTAATGCTAGTACCTGGCCCACCGGCCGTGGTTCTCGAGGTGTTCAGTCACGTGTTGGCACCTCTCCCACGGTCGGGGGGACGGGAGTCCTGGCGACGAGGTGGGAACGCCTCTCCCGTGCATTCCGGTTGCCAAGTCGGGGCGCGGTTATGCCTCCGCGATCGAGCGCGTCTACAGGTGGCGGATAGTGGAACGCCCACCATATATGGTGGGTACCGGTGAATAACCCTTCGGGGGAATAAGCCGGCGAGAACCAAAAGGCGCTGGGGTTCTGGAGGTCGAGTGGTTCCACCCCGAGGTGGGGTGGCGCCGATAAGTGCTCGACTGAGGAAAAATCCCTGGGACGGGCGAGTGGGAGCCGCCCCCAAACCTCCCTTCCCCGGGCACCGGGCGTTAGTCAACTCAGGTTGACAACCGGTACATTACTGGAAGGTCCCCATGCCACCCAGGTATGGGGGAGTGTGCAGTTAGGGCAGAACGGGCTCTTAAGCCGGGTGATGGCAATCGTTCTAGGATGCGGTGGTCGTCGAAATAGGATCCCCAACAATGGAAATATGATAATGGACGAAAGCAAACAGCACACCTACCACTCCAGGGGTTTCGGAGCTCGAGGGGTCGGCGCGGATAGGAGTAGTGTCCTGGCTCCTGCCACGTCGTTATCAAACAACAGGCGAACTCGGGTGTGCACCGCAAGCTCCCGGGGAAATACTGCGTCTGCGAAGACCTCCTTTTCGCTTTCCAACCCAACAGAGGTTTCCAAGAAAACTCGAGAGGCACTCGAAGATTTTGTCTTCACGTGGTCTACTCGGGGAGGTGACGGGTGGATCGGACTCGATAGTCCCGTAAAGACGACCAGCTTAGGAGCTGTGGACTCATTTGCCGAACAAAGGGTTCTCATTTTCCTTCAAATATGGATATGACGACAACTAAGGAAGTCTATTACTGCCCCAGTGATTTCGAAGCCTCAGGAGCCGGCGGTGTGGAGGATATTGTCCCGGTCCTCTCGCCGTCGTCATCATACGACGGGCCAAGTAGGAGGTGCCCCGCAAGCCTCCTACGGAATAATGCCCCTGCGAAGACCTTCCCTCTGCGCCTGCGAGGGGGAGGTGATCCGGAGGATCCCAAGAACATTATGGATAACTCCAAACAAGGGGGAGCAAATACTACCAAGGCAGGACCCAGCAAGCCTGGCCCACGTTGCTCCAAGGAACAGCGTAGCCAGAAGGAAGGGGAAGAATCACGGATGACAAGAGAAAGGGAACGAACCCGGGCAAAGACGCAGAAGAACAGGGAGAAGAATAGGCACATAGTGAGGAGGGGGGTGATGATTGATGACTCGGGGGAGGAGCCGAACTCCTCCTCCGACAGGTCGTCCACTCTCTCGGACTACTGTGACTCAGAGCCTGAAATGTCCGAAGATGCCAGTATGCGCGTCACAAGGAGTCGCAGCTCTTCGCTAGCCTGCTCGCACGGAAGCTCGCGTAAGAGAAGTGCTGAACCAATGGAAGTCGGTGGCTCGGGTGGGGAAGAACTTCCTCCCAAAACTGAAGACCCCATTCGGCAGAAAGCGAAAAGACACAAACAAGAAAGGCCGGCCCACACCGAAGAACATGTGGGCCAATTCAAAAGAGAAATTGGCGGAGAAGGACAGGATGCGCGCTATAGAGATCGCTGAGAAAGAAATAAGTGATATCGAAAATCCCACGACAAAGGCCAAAACACCGAAAAATGATCGTTGTTATTTACCTATTGCGAGTTACCAACATTTTTCTTCACTAATTTATTAGAAATTTAATAAAGAATCGAAATATTTGAGCCTCATTGTCGTAATTGATTGGAAAGTACCAGTAATCTCTAATCGTTTACGATCGCCTCCGCTGCGGATCTGCGCGCGGATGGTAAACAAATGATTGCTCTCATTTACCTATTTCGAGTTACCAACATTCTTCTTCACTAATTTATTCGAAATTTAATAAGGAATCGAAATATCTAAGCCTCACTGTTGTAACTGATTGGGAAGTACCAGTAATCTCTTATCGTTTACGATCGCCTCCGCTGCGCGCGGATGGTAAACGAATGATCGTTGTTATTTACCTATTGCGAGTTACCAACATTCTTTTTCACTAATTTATTTGAAATTTAATTAGGAATCGAAATATCTGAGCCTCATTGTCGTAACTGATTGGAAAGTACTTGTAATCACTAATCGTTTATGATCGCCTCCGCTGCGGCGCTGCGCGCGGATGGTAAACAAATGATCGTTGTTATTTACCTATTGCGAGTTTCCAATATTCTTCTTCACTAATTTATTTGAAATTTATTATGGAATCGGAATACCTAAGCCTCATTGTCGTAACTGATTGGGAAATACCAGTAATCTCTAATCGTTTGCGATCGCCTCCGCTGCGGCGCTGCGCGCGGATGGTAAACAAATGATCGTTGTTATTTACCTTTTGCGAGTTACCAACATTCTTCTTCTCTAATTTATTCGAAATTTAATAAGGAATGGAAATATCTAAACCTCATTGTCGTAACTCATTGCGAAGTACCAGTAATCTCTAATCTTTTACGATCGCCTCCGCTGCGGCGCTGCGCGCGGATGGTAAACAATTGATCGTTTTTATTTACCTATTGCGAGTTTTTAACATTCTTCTTCACTAATTTATTCGAAATTTAATAAGGAATCGAAATATTTAAGCGTCATTGTCGTAACTGATTGTGAAGTACCAGTAATCTCTAATCGTTCACAATCGCCTACGCTGCGGCGCTGCGCGCGGATGGTAAACAAATGATCGTTGTTATTTACCTATTAGTAATTACCAACATTCTTCTTCACTCGCACGGCGGTACTCGCACGGTATAAGGCCGCAGATTCGATCGCGTCAAGCCCGTCGCAAGTGCACGCCACGGTTACTCGGAGGCATGGACCAAGAGCTGTCCCCGGTCCTGGCCCGCTGTTGGCCGACGGTGATCCTTTGACGGGCCTCACGGGGCGACGCGCGCGCGGGGTCTCCCCACGCGCTCCCGCTCCAATACTGGTCGGCGACGCTACTGCTTTGGGTACTCTTAGGACCCGTCTTGAAACACCGACCAAGGAGTGTAACATGTGCGCGTGTCATTGGGACCACCATGACCCAAAGGCGCAATGAAAGTGAAGGTAGGCCTTGGCGTCGACCGAGGGAAGATGGGTCGCGTTGGGATGCGGCCTCGCACTCCCGGGGCGTCTCGTTCTCAT